TTATTGAAAGGAACAATGATATTTATAATTTGCATAATCGTGCAGTCATTTTGTTCACGGATATCAATAGAGGTTTTTGGAAAACTATGCGGCTATACTCCGGCTAATATTCTGAGCTGGTTACTTTAGTTGAACTGATTTAATTAATTGTGTCCATGTTATGCCGACATTCGCGCTCAAAGATGGCCATGTTGTAGATCCTCTGTAGCTAGTTGCTTACGTTTATCATGTAGTAGCGTCTTTTTGCATGCGTCTACTTAGGTAGGTACCAGAATTAACCGGTCCAGTTGATTCGTTTCCGTTTCGCCCATCCACTATTGGTCAAATCAGTGAACTGACCAGTGAACGGGGTGAACCGACGAATCGATTAAACCGGGTAAGTCTGGCACCCGCCTCATCTGCATAGCATGCTTTCTAAACGAAGCTGATTAGATACAGCTGTCAAACATATTGTTCATACCTCAAAAAGTGTGATGGTCAAGTAGGTGATGTGCAATTTCAAATAGATGTTTTTCTTTTCAGATCACTACTGTCTTTTCCCATGCCACAACTGTGGTAGTCTGTGTTGGATGTAATACTGTTCTTTGCACACCAACCGGAGGAAAAGCCCGATTGACGGAAGGATGCTCCTTCCGTAAGAAGCAACATTAAAGAAGTGTTGTTGTGTTACATACATTGTTTTTGTTTGATGAAGGGTTTATTGGACTAAATACATTTATGTTGTTGTTTCCTCTAGTATATCCATCTCGCGACGACGTTCTCGTTTCGCTTCGCGACGAGGACTGTATAAATGCTGGCGTTCCTCGCTTTTTGCACGTTTACTTTTACGTTTACGCTGATGCGAAATAGATTTGCGTGCCGATTCACGCGTATGGTACTTATGTGACTCGAGCACATCCAAATCAGGTGGTTTAGGATGAACGTAACGATCGTTGAGGAGAATGAAAGCTCTGAAAATATTGACTTCCACCAATTATTTTGAAAATGCGGTTTTTCCTCGTACCTGTAAGTCTGAAGCGCGATAATCAATGCATTTTTGCATGTGAAAAAGATCATGGTATATGTGACGAGCCCATATTGGAGCATCAAATAGAGACGAACCTGAATAATGTTCTTGTGTGACAACTAGAACTCAAGTTCGTGGAAAACTGCGTATCAAAGTACATACCAATAGGAATGGAATGTCTTGTAAAGCGTTAGCCAGTACGATTGCCCATATATCGACATCATAGATTATCTGTAAAGAAACGGAAAGCTCACTTCGAGTGAAGGAGGGCTTCTGTCTTTTTTGATTTTTTTTT